TCTGCAGGCAGCGAGCGGCCACACGCCCCCGTACTACTTGCGGCCTGCGCCCCACGTGGTCGGCACCGGTCTCTTACCGCCATTGGCCGGCGAGCGTGGCAGTCACCGGGCCGCCGCACCTCGATTGGTCCCACCGGCCAGGAGCCGCGCAGGAATGGTGAAAGACGGGACCTCTGCTCCCGCCCCCACTGACGTCATATGAGCCCATTCATAAAATGCTCAGGCTCCGCCTCGCACTCGAATTTGTCCCTCGGCTCCCCTCCCCCAGCCCCGCACTGCGCTCGCCCACGGAGCCGCGCCGCGGTCACCACAGCACGGCACGGCACGGCACGGCCCGGCACGGGCCCGCAGGGACCCCTGGGCGCAGGGAACCCGCCCCGGGGAAAGTCCATCCCGGGCAAAGCGCGGCTGGGCACCACAGCCCAGCTGCCGCTGCACCCCACGCACCGCGGGGTTGGCAGCGCTGTCCCGTCTGACCGGCCTCGATCTTGTCTTCCTCGAAAAGATCCAGGGTCAAAGGAGGCTTCCTGAAATATTTCCCCTGAGATGACCACTTGTTGTGCCATGCCTGGACTTGCCGTGCCCCGTCGCCCTTCAGCTGCCCGTTTGACACGACCTCTCTCCCAAAGCCCCACGCAGGACGGGTTAGGAACTCCTGCACTTGGGAGGAGTGTACAGAGAAATGTCACACACACGCCGCCGGTGGCTCTTTCCGTGGTGGTGAAGGGCACAAAGCTGCTTTGAGGAGGTGGGACAGTGCAGGCTGTGGGAGGCTGAAGCCCTGAAATAGCTGATGGTTGAGATGCATTGCCTCAACAGGCTGAAACGGCAGGAGTGGCTGAGAAATATGGAAGATCAGTGGCAATTTGGTGTAAGGTGTGGGCCAATTAAAATGTCAGAGAAGACCAGTTGAGGTATAGGGGACTGATGTTTTTAAAAGGAGCCTCTTGCAACTTTCAGTGTCAATTTTTTCTGTACACAAGCCTTTCATACCACTTATTTGACAATTACCTTAGTTCAAGCAGTAAGAAACCTTCTCTAAATGAGGTTTTTTGGAGATCCACATCCATCTGAGTAATTAAGAACAAGTAGCATAGGGGGTAGTCTTAATGTTGCCTTTCCTTTCTTTCTTGGAGTGGCAAATAGGTCATACCCAAATCCAGCCACTACTGCTGAAGATCTCCAAGCTGTGCCAGCTGCCAGGCTGCAGCCATGTTCCCCTTGTCCACTCCTTTGCATTACTTGCCACACACCATGTCGATGGCAGAGGCAGCCTCCAGGAGCCTAATCTGCCAAATCCTGGCATGCCTCAGGCCTGGCTTCCCTTTGCAGCCCACTCCTACAGACCGCCCATTGTATACTCAGTGGATTTACAAACTCTCTGCAATTTCTCTTTCTTCATCCCATTCCACATTTACTAAGATCTGCCTGCTTCAGAGTTTGGAAAGAGTTCATGTAAGGGTGCCACCTTAATTGTAACAGGTAAACAGTACCCTGGCGTGTTGCACCTTGAGTGCAACCTGACCATGGTGCCATGTGAATGCAGTTACAAGCACTACAGCCACCTCAAAGCTCTCATTTAGAAACAGGACACACTTGTATGACATCAACTACCCGACGCAAAGAACTGTGCATCCTGAGATACCTGAGGTTGTACTTTATCACCTTTCGTCTGTGCTAAGGGAAACAAGACCAAAGAAAAGAAATGAAAATCTGCTGTGATAGGTTTATCCTTTTTATTTATTAGTTTAATAAAAATAAATGTTTGCTACATTTCCTGTTATTAAATATATATACATGAAATAGCTTTTCACTCAAAAATACATAAGTAATAGAAATCAAAGGCTTCTGTTCTTAATCTACTTGTGGAAAACAAATTCATAGTAGGATTCACATTTAATTGGATTCAACAACACACTGTCTGCACTGATGTTAATTAAAGGCATGAAACTATCATACTCTTTGCAATGAAAAATTAGTCAAGTCAGTGTCTTATTGGCTGACCTATAGGTTTACAGTTGTTTTTTAGAAATTAATCTTTATCATAAGCATTGGTATCAAACCTAATAGGAGAGAACATGTCACAGGATTTCGTCCTATTCCACAACAGGAAGCATCCATCCTTCCATCCCCACAGTGAATTAGTTCACCTATTTTTTTTTTTTTCTTTTGTCAATCACTCATGAGAGGTGACACTGCAGAGGATCCAGCTCTCACCAAGCTTTCTTCTGCATTTTTCCCAAGAGAGCCCACCTATTGCTTACTGAACACCTCTTTTAGAGCAGGGTGATATTCTAGGGCTAACTCCTTCAGTCATTTCACAAGAAAAATCCTCTTAGGCCTCACCAAGCGTGTAGTTGTTATAACACCCTCCAAAGACAGGACTCAGATTACAAAAAAATGCAAAATGCTGGGATAATTTTCCTCTTGTTCCATACCAGCCTTTCCTTAATTTGTAAACCTATTTTAATCTGCATAGAGAATCTTGGTATTTTTGCATAAACACTTGCGTGTTGGAAAGAAAATATACTGTTAGAGCAAAAGAAAAGAACAGAGGTAATCAGAAGGAGGTTGAGTGCCACTCCTCGTTGGGATCAATAGTGAAATTGTTAGATAGAACATGTGCTTTCTGTGGTCATATCACACTATTTTCTTCTTGTAGCTGTCAAGGCAGTTCTCATCTGTTCAGTTTATGCAGAATAAATTACGCACTGCTAATCCTCACTCTTTTGTCTTCCAGACGACAGGTGGATATGGCACAAACATCTGGAAAGAGAAAAGGTAGAAAAGATCTACTACAAATCAAAAACAACAGAAGAGCTGAAGCAAAGGATGGAAGGTAACAGTGGTCACCAGAGTCACCAAGTGTTGAGAACAGAAGTGGACTGGGCAGCTGGACAGTACACGTAGAAGCTGGAGGAAAGGAAATGAACATTGGGCAACCTGCTGAAGGGAGCAGGACATTCTGGACATTCATGTAAGCTGCACTGCAGTTACCAAGGGGATGTTGCCAATTACAAATGGGTCAGAAATAGGGAAGGAAGTATGTAGGTGCTACAAAAGATTTGTTGGTCTCTGTCAGAGTCTACCCATCTTTTATTATAACATCTCCTGCCCACTGCACTGCAGTTGTGCTGCTCCTGAGACCTCTTGTCTGAACAACCTTCTTGTTGCAGGTCAGGAGAGAACCTGCCTTGCTGTTCTCTCAGGGGGACTGATAAACCCCTTGACACAGAAGTATAGACACAGCAAGGAAGTTCTCTAGGTTTTTTTGTATTAAAAAAAATAATACTGGTTATTCAAAAGCGTTGCTATTTTTTATGCTGCCCTGCTTGGAGAGAAGGGCAGTCCTCTGAGAGGCTTACAGTCTACATTTAGAAGAAGATGAGTCACAGGCAGGGAAAGGGACTCACTGGAAGGGAAAGAATTATACAAAGGTCAGATGAGGGGGTTTGCATCTCTTGCTTATGGGCATCACACATTTCTGAGCAACAGGCCTATTCCCCTTTCCAGGGTTAATTCCAGTATTCTCATGGGCTTTGCAGGTCTGTTCCCATTTGCCATAAACTGCTGCAAATCCCAAAGGAGCACCCAGTCGGCTGAGCTGATGGAACAGACAAGCATTTTGAGTGTACTCACACATCAACATGCATACACGTATGAGGATACCTTGCAAGGCCCCAGAGATCTGAATTTCCACAGCCTCTTTTATCAGCTCAGGCGTGTAGTCAGTTCCAGATGACTGCAGATGCAATCTGGGTCAGGGCAGTGATGCAAGCCTTGGTCACCCCACAGCTTGGCTACATTGCTCCATCATATGGATGGTGGCCAAGCTGTACAGCAGAGCACAACAGAGACGAGAGAGAAGTCCTTAGGAAAGTTAAAGGAGTAGTGATATGCATGACTGAAAAATGCAACAATAAGGAACAAAAAAAAATGGATTAGAACTACATAGATGACAACATCAAAAGGAGACAAAAAAACCAAAAATAAAGCACAGGAGCAATAAAACACAATGAATAGGGGATAAAAGAGCACCCAGTAAGAAGAGTCATTCAATTTTTATCATGAAGTTTTTCTGTGACATTGCTGCCACAAGGACCTCACAAGCAATATACATCTCAGTGAGACCACGTTCTCATGTTTCCCTCCTGCCCCGCTGTCTTAGTACCTGAAGAAAACACTTCTCACTACAAGCCCACAGATGAGAACCCAAGACAGTCACTCACTGTCCCCACAGTGAGACCTGTCCCCACAGTGAGGGGGTCTCAGCATGCAGGAAGCCTCAGCACTGGGATCCACTTCTCATCCCAGCCTGCCCAGTGCTGCCAGAAATGCTCTGCAGCAACCCTGAGACAGGGAAGGGGGTTATCTGTGATGTGTCACATTTTTTCCTGCCACTGAGCAGTGTAGTCATTTGTTTCATTAAATGGCATTCTTGTACCCAGCACTAATTTTATCCCTTTACAAATATGTTTTTCATGCTAGCAACTCAAGAGCAGCTCTCCCCCCTGTACAGTCATTCTGCTCTCATGCCTCTCTTACCATTACTCACACTTATTGCAGTGAGGCCAGATTCAATAAAGGGCCTGGCTGCTGCGGTGCTGAGCACTGCAGCGTGTCTTTGCCTAAATCCACAGCTCCAAATTAAGACACCCTGCCCCAGTGCACAGTGAAGGCAAAAATTAGAATACCTAAGAATGTAATCTTCATTGTCCATTCTGTTAAGATGTTGAAAAGAACCATTCAGACACACCAACAAATCTCTCAATACACCTCATCCGCTGCTGAGTTCATCATAATGATGGGGTTGTACCTTGTGTGGAATTCCAGATCTTCAGCCTTTCCTTAGGCACCTACTTCATGCCCTTGCAGGGGTCATGGACCCCTCTGAGCCCGTACACTATTTAGCATTCACCCAGGAGTTCAGCTTTCCCTCCTCTGCTCAAAAGGGCAGGAAAGTGCTTTAACAGCATGGCACACATGTGTGGAGTGAAGAGATTTTGGTTGAAGCTGTTGCACAGCACACAGAATCCCAGAATCATCATATCATAAAACCCTAGAATGGCCTGGGTTGGAAGGGACCTTAAAGATCATCTACTTTGAACTCTATTGCCATGGACAAGGATGCCTTTCACAAGGCCAGGGTTCTCAGAGCCCCATCCCATGGTCTTGGATATTCACAGGGATTGGGCACCCACAACTTCTCTGGGCAACCTATTCCAGTGCCTCACCACCCTCAGTAAAGAATTTCTTCTCAGTAACTGTTTTTCTTTCAGCTGTAATGATGGGATGGAAAGCCAGTGGGACTGGAAGGGCTGGGGCAGACATTCTCAGCACCATCCTGTGCATACATCTTCAGCATATGTTAAAGTGGTGTATTTGGGCAACTCTAGAAGTGGGTATTTGTAACCCTCCTCCCTGGCATGCTACACATGAAGCAGGTGCTGGGGGATCCATGGTTCAGACTTGGGCTTTGCCAGCTGGCTCTCACTGTCAGTTCCTACAGTACAGGACTCCTGTGGGCCTAACATAAGGCACCTCGAGCAGCTCAGCCCTGCTCTGCAGAGCTTGCAGGAAACAAGGGAGCCAGAGAACAGTAGGCTGAGAGAAAGGGATAGAATTTGTAACATTAAGTGCCATAATAAATAACCAATTAAGCACAAATTTTGATTGATATGTCACTCATCTGCAATTGCCTACTTTTGGGTATAGTTTCTTTGAGAAGGGCAGAAACTTGCAAACACAAGGCAGCTGCTAAACACGAGTCTTAGCTTTGAAACTGAGTCAGTCAGGCATTTTAGGTTACCACACTGTGTAACAGCTATACATTCCTTGCTTCTCAAATAAACTTTGGGCATCAGCAACCTTGCCTGCTTCAGGGAATAAAGTCCCAAGTTTCTCAACAACAAAATACTCCAAGCAAATGTAGCAATGGAAAACAAACAGAATCTAAAGCCAAACAGTAGCTGGCATATTAACTAGTTGAGTCTATAGATTGCAAATTTAACATGCCATGCAGATGTACACTGCTCTTTATGAGAAAGTCTGTTCAGTTTTCCTTACAAACAGGAAACAATACAAATGGTTCTACAAACTTCTGGTACTTGATACAGGGATTTTTCACTTTTACCTACTATGGATTGGCAAGTACATCTCCTGTTAAAACTCAGATTTCCTCTTTTTGTTGCCATTCTCTGTTTAAAGTTCTCAGAAATTATTGCAGTGGGGAGCTCCTTATTATACAAAGCAAGGAAAGCTTAGTAGGACATGCATATAAAGTGGGGGTTGGGTTTTAAAATCACCAACAACACTGGAAATTAATACTACTAAAAAAAATAAATTATAATAGTTATATCTGCTTCAAATCCAAGTGCAGCATGTGTTTACTGGAGACATAACACAGCCATGGCTACTGATTACCCTTTTTCAATCCTACAGCTCATTGAAATATACTGATTTTGAGCTGGAAATATAATCTGTAGAAATGAAATGCTGTGTGCTCATTGTTTAATCCTTGATGTCTCTTCTACCTAGTTTTGTAACTGTAGGTAAGCGATAAAAATACTTGCCCAGATAAAATGAACAAAGTTCAGGAATTCATGGCACTCACACCACTGCCAACATTCAATGTCACCTTGCGTGATACATTCACTTTCAGCCCCAGATGATGGACTACATTTCGTAATAAATCTCTGTTTTCTCATCCTTTTTAGCCCTCAGTGTCTCCTTAAAGATCCACATGCCAGGCAGTTCTGGTGCCCCTGCAAAAACCCAGTACTTGTGGAAGACTTTGTCTTGGCTACTCCCAGTATTTCACAAACATGAATTCCACTTTGAATGCCTGTTAAACACAGCGTGTCACTCCTAGAGGAAATGTGAGGGCAGAAGGTTCAAGGACCCTACCAGGGGCAAAAGTTTTGAGCAAAAAAAGTATCTCAGATTGCTATCTATCTTTAAATCCTAATTATGTATCTGTATAGTTTTCATCAAATTCTCCATATTTCTTTAAAATGTTTGTCTTCCAGACTTCCTAAAGACTTTTACCATTGAATTTTTAACCATTATAATTGGCATTTCAAAACCACCATTGTTTAAAAACAATGTAGGACCAAAGACACCATAATAATGTTTCCACCCAGAAGGCCATCTATTCAAGGTATGTAAAATGCTATCCCCCTCTGGAGACTTCAGTGGAAATCTGAAGATTTTACAGCCACAATGGCCTGGCTCCAGAATATTCCCCAAAAAAAAAAAAACAACAAACCAAACAATGAGCAATTAAAACAACCAACCCAAAAAATGCTGCCTCAAGCTGCAGTGTCCCCTCCCTTTCTGAGGCTACCAAACCAAGCCCTGCCATGCTCTGATTCTGTTTGGTGTGTAGCTTCCCAGTACTTCTAAATATTGATTCTCTGTTAATTCTACTCATCAGCCAGCACCCGCAGCAAAGCAGGTGTAGGTTTACACCTGTTCACATGTGTGTGAACATACACGTATATACGTTCTCCCCAGATGTGGTTACATAAAACCAGCTAAAGAATGGACTTGGCTTGCTCTTAGTGACAGCAGTAACAACTTCTTTTTGTTTAATACTAAAATATGAGATGTTTTGCTTTTGTTATTGAGTCACACAAATGTCATATCAGTCTTATCACATGACTGCTGCTCACTTCCATGACTTAGCTCCCCCTATCAGTGTTATTTCAAGAGGCATAATACAGCACTAGAGGACTGGAAACAAGTGACAGCAGTGGAAGTGCCTCTTTTAATGGCAGAAAGCCTTGTAGGATGACACAGGCAAATCAGGTCAGAAAATTTTTCCTTGCTGAAGGCCTATCTCAGTGTTCCTACCATTTCAATGGGAAGTCCACAACTTCCTTCCAATTCAGAAAGGTTAAGAGAAGAACAAGAGAAAGAACCTGCTATGAATAGGAATCACTTTCTTTAAAGAATCAGACTCATGATGGAAGAGGAAAATAACTTTCAGGAATCAGGGTTAAGTATCAACCAAGCATGTTTCATTTCACATTCATACCATCACTCTATGGTCACACCTCTGCCCTGTAAGCTTCAAGATAAATGTCTGCAGCTCAAATCCCACTTTACAGAAAAAAAAAAGTACAAGAAACCATTTAGATATAATACTTTTTTTTTTTTTTTACTAGTCTTTCATACTGTCTCTTACCAAATGAGCTCTCCATTTTCATGACTTGTTCACCTCTAGGTATATGAAGGAAGTTTAATTCTTATAATCAATTCACTTCTTTGCTTCAGCAACTACTGAAAGTGCCAGTGGTAGCACTTAATGCATAAATTGATGATAAGATTGATTCTATCATTTAGTTTTCTATTGACCACTGAACAGGAAGTTACCTCCTTAAAACATATTATTTCTCTTTGAATAACCTGCTACAGCTGTGGACTGAAAAATAAAATTAAAATGGATGACTGAGCAATGATTGCTTAACTCCCTGCCCTGTGGAGATTTCCCAAAACCCAAAATGCCAAGTAAAAATCTAAACTGTCTGGCTAGAGGACAGCAGCTTTGCTGAAAAACAATGTTGTTTAATCTTTATATTCTTCTGTTAATTCTTCAGTACTGCACTAAGTGCTGTATGTAAAAACCATACAATCCAAAAGGCAGGGAAAAAAAAAAAAGCCACAAGGTCTCAAGTAACATCCCAAGGAAGCTGATTATCCATACATTTTAGAATGCAACATTGTCTTGGCCTAGATGCCTAAAAACTTACCTAAAAATTGTTCCATTAAGACTCCTACAAGTAGCCAATCCAGGCATAAGAAGTCAGGTAGCACTGCATGAATTCAGCCATAGTGTCCAAATCAAACACAGAGCTCAGAGCAAACACAACCAAACTATTCTGCTGCTATTAAGAGGCAGAATAAAAGGAAATTAATATGACAAAAACCAGCAGCACTTCCAAAATGGACCCACTGTAAATTAACATATCCATCTTGGAATCCATTGATACACAAGAATGCGGTATTATGGGAGGGGATATCCAAGATTCCCCAAGTCAAATTCCCCAATACTATGCAGAACCCAACACAAATGTTCTTTCCTGGCTACATCAAACTTCCTTCTAAAAGAAATTTAAACTTGTTTCTCATTTGAAACCACTCCAGAATATCGTTAGTCTGGTAGTTAGAGCTCTTCCTGCAATTTCCAGCGAAGTCTAGCCATTATTCCTTTTACACACATTTGTTTTGCTTTATTCTGATCTTGAGCTCATATAATTATTTTCCCTTCTTATATAGCAGTGTGTCACTTCTGTGTCTTTCTGTTAAGCCTCTCTATTCCTCTTAACATCCATGTGGTCCTTTTCTACATCTGTTCCATCCATCTGTTTGAACCCATTTATCTGAATGTGGGTGATAGTTGGGCTCCAGATAAGGTCTTACTAATGCCATATACTTTGACATCATAATATATAATTATAAAATACTATACATTATTAAAATTATATTTTTAAAAACTTATAATTACATTAAAAATATAGTAATATTTTTATACATACAGGAAATCCATCCCTTAACACTTTCTAGGACACTATCTTTGTTTTTTATTATTTTCTCAGCCATGTCACATGCTATCATTCTACTGCTATTACACCAACCACCAACCTGTCACCGAAGCTATGAACTCTTCTAGAAAAAATTGTGATCAGTTTCTATTTGCATTACTAAAACCCATCTAATTCTATTAATCTCAGTTTTGATTAATCTTGTCAGCACATGGATATTCCAGTCCTCCTATCAATACAGTCTACCGGTTTTGTGTCGTTAAGATTTTATCATTGCTGTACTTTTTCACTAGTGTCACTATGGGAAGAATTCCAACAGTCCTCAAAAACTCCAGTTTGCAGCCTTCTTTCCATCAGTATAATCTCTTTCCACTTTTTATCTGTCAGTTCATTCCAAAGTCACCTTACATTGCAATTAATCAAAATTTTCTCTGTTTCACATGATTTCCTCACATGGAACAGAATCAAAGTTTCCTCACAATGAAACATAAGGTAACAAGGTAGCCTGGCACAGTGTATTTTGCCAAAAGCCTTGCATTTTATCCTACCTTTAATTTCTCTGTGATCTTATTTTGTCCTTCAAAAATTGTCCTACAGCTAAGTGTACAATGGCTGCCAGATTAGATCATCATTATTACTAATCTTGTCTTTCCTTTGGGTACCCTCAACTATTTGACCCCTTTTATGTGGCTTCCACTGCTAATACAGTACAGTATTTGCAGGTAGATTATACATTTTTGGAAAGGGGATATATTGCATTTGTTGAGCTAAAGCACAACTGCAGCGCTTAATGCATTGCCACTGAAATCAGAAAACAGAACTCAGGAAAACCTACTACTGCAAAACTGCAAAAGTAATGGTTAGAATGGGAACAGAGTAGGAAATACACTAACAAGTGTAAAACACCTTACAATAACTGTATTTCTCTTGCCTTGATTTTTTCTGGTTTATTTTGTTCTAGACTTTCTGATTTTGTATCTCATGCCATCTTCACCAGCTTCACCCTGCAAGCCCAAACCACCAGAGGTTGTATTGCTGGCACTGAAGGCATGTATCCCTTTTCTGTGGCTAGTCAACAATTTCTTTTATAAGCAAAACAACTTTAATTTCCCTCCAATAGAACAATAACTTCTCTTGAAAAAAACATATATTTCACTTCTTTTTCTTTCTTCAGTGAACCATCTAAGTATACTTTAAAAAATGTATTTCAGGTGATACCACTGGCAAAATCTGATGTATTTTCTGACAGAAAAATGTTTGTAGAGCTCCTCACATACCTCTCACAGAAACTGAGCAATAGAAAACAAACTGTGGCATATTTCCTTTTTATGTTGATGTTTGAGCTCAACCGTGTAATTTTCTTTGCACTTTTATTTATTAGTTAACAAATAAATTAGTCTTCTTCTGAATCTCAGTAGGATTACTCTTAGCAAGGAAAATAACATAACAAGAATCTTTCCATTCCCAAGAGAAGTTTAAGCAGGCTCAGCCCCAAGTTCAGCTGACTGTGGATGCATGACACCACTGTCTTTCAAGATCTGCTTCCAAAACATAAGGAGGAAAACAAAAATACACAAACAAAATTAACTAAATTCACTTCCGACTGATTTATTATTTGTCATTCCTTTGATACACAGAGTAAATTATCTCCAGTTAATTAACAAGTTACTCTAAAACATCAGAAGGTTTAACAAGAACTGACTTCGCACTATTGGCATAAATTATATTACATTAACACTTAGTGTTAATTTCCTCCTTCTTCTTCCCTCCCCACTTTGTCCGGAGAGAAAATACCTCTCTGTCAGGTAAACTACCAAGTTCTGTTTGCTTCCTGGGTTTGTCCCATAACTTCAACGCGCATCAGCACTTTCACGCACCGTCATTCTTCCACTTCACACTTGACAAACTCTAAGGAAAAAAAATCCCAACTTGCAGATAAAAGCACCGGATCCTCCCTTGCCACGTGCCAGCCTTTTCTATCCGCGCCAGCTGAGCAGCGGAGGAGGCCGCAGGAAGGGATCTACCGGCCCTCGGGTTCGGTGCGGAGCTCCGCGCAAAGCGGAAGCAAAGGTCCGCACAAGCACTGAGCCCGTGAGCCGGTGTCTCTCCGGGGTCCCGAGCAGCCACAGGTGCGGCGGAGCCCCAAAGCCAGCGCGGACGAACCGCCCGTGTGGTTTAACCAAAGCAAATCCCTCTCGGGAGGCTCGGCTCGGGGCAAGCACTGCCGAACTGGGCTAATGCCCGGCCCGGAGCCGCGGGCAGCGAGGGGCACCGGGAGGCCCCGGCTCTGGCCCTCACCCCGGCCCCACCGATATCGGGGCTGGCCAGTACTG